CTAGCAGGAGCAGGAGAAGCAGCTACTGATCACCGCACTTGCCCGGGCAAAAAGAGCTGAAAAGGCCGCTCAGGATGCTGGGCGGAAAGTCGAATCTGAGAAGATTGCAAAGAAGAAGGCCATTGCGCAGCAGGTTGAACTGGAAGAAGAGTTACGGAAAGCTTTGGCTTCTTTGGAGCAGATCCGGGGAGAGAAAGCCAACACCCAGGAGGCTGAGTTGAAAGACCAGAAGGATCTGAAGCGAGCAAATGGCAAAGTGGACGACCTGGAGCAGAAGGTCTTAGAGGTCAAGAAGCTTTTAGAAGTGCAGACCAGCCAGACAAACAGTGCTGAGGCCAATGCTACCCAGGAGATGGAGGCAATCCTTCGAATGAGGCGGAAGGTCGTAGAGTTGGGGCAAGACTTGGAGGCTGCAAAGCAAGAAGTGGCTCATGCCAAGAAGAAAACATCTAAGGCCCAAAAGCTCTGGGAGGAAGCGGAACAGGACCTTCAGCTTACCACAGCTGCACTGGGCAACCGAACAGAGCAACGCGACGCTGCACGGAAAGCAGATCGTGAGGCGACACAGGAGTTGCATAGACTACAGGAGTCCTTGCAGCATGCGCACCAGCGCACAGATGAAGCAGAAGGAGAAGTCCGGAAAGCAAAGAAACAAGAGACGGCCCTGAGAGAAGAGCTGCAGAAGGAAAGGACACATGCTAAAGAAGAAGGTCACCAAGCATGGTCAGCTCAAATGAATGCAAGCAGGGAGCAACGCACAGCAGACTTGGAGCAACAAGCCCTGGAAGCCACCAGAAAGAAGGAGGCTTGGTTGAAAACCCAGCTCTCTGCAGCGCGAAGTCATTTGGAAGCGGAAGAGCAGCAAGCCAATTCCTCCCTGGTGAAGTTGAGGCAGACGATCATGACCATAGAGGCTGAAAAGAAGCACGCAGAAATGGAAGCCAAAGTAGAAAAAGCGGATTCCAAGAAAAGAGAGAGCTTCGACAAGGAGCAGTTGGCTGGTGCCAATGCAACCATCCGAGCTCTCAAAGTTCAACTGGATGCAAGGAAACGAGCTGTGCATGAGGCACTCTTGAACATCAGCGCTGTAAGGGAGACATCGAAGGAGATCCAAGAGAAGTTAGAGGCTGCGCAAGACAGGGAGAGGAACTTGACACGAGAACTTCATGCGCTGGTCAAGGCAGCGCAAGTGGCCGTGAGCAACGAGCGCAAGGCCGAAAAGGATGCTGCCCAAAGCAAGGAGCATGTTGAAGATGCTGAGGCAAAAGCTGGTAATGCCACCAAGAAGAAAGAGTTGGCCATGGCAGCTGAGCGCCGAGCTAAGGATCAAGAAGCCAAATCACTGAAAGCCATGGAGGTGTTGAAAGCCGAGCTGCAACAGGCACGAGGGGTGGCACGAGCAGCCAATGAAAGCAAGCTGCTTTTGGAGAAGGAACTGCAGAAAGAAAGGCTTCAAGAGGCATCAATGAATCGCAGCCTCGAAGCGATGCATAGAAACGCCAGGAAGGAAGAAGGGCTACTTCGACTCACCAAGACCAAGGCCACTCGCAATGAAGCTGAGCTGAACAAGACTTTGCAGGCTGCAGCAGCAGCACTACGAGAGGCACACAAACAAGTGAAGATGTCAAATGTCACAATAGCAAGAGATCATGCACGACTAGAAGCTGAAGAAAAAGGCAACAAACACAAAGCGGAACAACTGCGGAAAGAGAGGCATGAAGAAGCAAAGATGAACAGCAGCCTGGAATCCATGAAGAAAGCTGCTGAACAGAAAGAAGGGCTGCTACGCCGGGCCAGGGTGAATGCCACGCACAATGAAGCCAAGATCCTGGATCTGGAGAAGAAAGTGAAGCTGGAGCAGGCATTGCATGGAAACGCCACCAAGGAGTTGGTGTCCCTTTCGCAGAAGTTGAGGCAGGCAAGAACAGAGCAGCTCAAAGCTGAGCAAGTAGCCGAGAAGGCCAAGGCGCAGGAAATCTCCGCCCAACATGCCAAGCACAATGCAACGAAAGAGGAGGGCTTGGCAATTAAAAGGGCAACAGAGCTGGAGAAGAAGATGCAGACTGCCACTGCAGCCCTAAAGCAAGCACGACAGAAACTGCAGGCAGCAGAAGATGAGGTGAAAAGGGGGAATGAGACCATCGCAAGAGATGAGGCGCAAATAGCAGCTGATTTGAGAAGCAAGAAGGAGGCAGAGGAAGCAGCAAGCAAAATGGTCAAGGCTTTGGCGGTGCTAAGAAGACGAAGAAAAGAGGACACGGCTTTGATGGAAAAGCATGAAGACAACCTAACCCATGAGCTGAAAGAAGCGCTTACTGCTGAAGACCTTGCCAAGACTCGTGAGCAGCACGAGAAGGAAAAGGCTCTCAAAGAGAAGAAGGAGCATGTGCTCATTTATGGACCCTTTTTTATCCCTTTTCTATCTTTTTCTGAAAGGGCCTTGAACGGGCCCTGAGCGTTTTCCACTAAGGGAAGGTAAATGGTTTCAATGAAACTCATCATTCCAAGCTTTGGTCTTTTGTAAGGTTCATCCCTGCAGAATCAGAATCGCCTGCATCAAGTCATGAGGGAACTTCATAGGACTTATCTTTTTCAAAGACACACAAGCTCTAAGATGTTTGATGATTTTGGTGTTGGGGACCTTACCTGCAAGGAGTTGCAGGAGGCCTTGCGTTCATTGCAGTCCTCCCAGTCAGAGCTCCAGAAGCTGCGCCAGTCGGCTCAGCCCAACCGCAGCGCCATGGAACTGGCGCAGCGCGCGGCCGCCGCCGCGCGGGAAGCGCTGCGCCACGACCACAGTCGCGCGGTGGCTAAGGAGGCGGAGCTGGCGCAGCTGACGGAGGAGGTGCTGCAGCTGCGGAAGGAGGAAGCGGAGAAGGAGAAGGGGAAGGCTCAGCATGGCCAGCAACGCAGTGGGCGCAGTGAAGTATCCAAGGGAGCCAAGACCTACAACGTATTGTTTATAGATATTTATAGATCACATATATAATCATATATATATATATAATAAGTATGCTTTTAAATTGGCCGGGCGTTCTTGTTTGGCCAAGGAGATGGTGACGTGGCTTGAACAATGTGCACACACTTGTCAACATGCTTAGGACGCAGTTCAGGACAATTGTCCAATACTTCACGCCAACAAACAGGCATCCTTTTGGAGAGATCTTGTCGTTGTAGGTCCAGAGTGAAGGCATAGGAAGGCGAAGATTAGGCCTGTCAACGTTTGGTGTTTGTCACCTTTGTCACTTACCAGGCGCAGGAGAAAGACCTAAAGAAAGCTGCGCAGGAGAAGGCCGCAGAGGCCATGCGCGAAGCAAAAGCCAAGAACGCTGCCTTAGCAAATGCGACATTGGAAGAGCAGGTGTGCAACTCAGATCTCCGCATTTCTGCAAGTTATTTGCTACTCGTAGCCACAACCGCTGGCTAGACATGAAGCCGGATGGGATGGCCTCAGGGTTCGTTGGTCATGAGGTGCAGGATAAGCAGATAGCTTCCCTTAAGCGCAGCCTTCGCCGCGCCAAAGAGAGGGAGGCAGTGATTCGGGATTGGCTGGAAGACACATGACAAAACCTATGAACACATTTTCATCCAAGCTTGATCCAAAAGTCAAACATTTGCATCCTGTATGTTTGCAGCATTTGCAAAGTCCCATAGGCAGCCGTGTTCGCGCTGCTCCATGTTTGTCCGAAGAAATGGGCCAGGTGTTGCTGCTGCCAGCACTGCTTTGCTTGGTGCTGGTCTTTGGACTGGCGTTCTGCTTATTAAGGCGGCACTTCATGGCCAAGCGTACGCAGCAGTATGTCGCTCGGCCCATGGGAGAAAATAGCATGGAAAAACAAGGAAACTGGTCATGGAGAGAGATGAGAGAACTTCCAAAACACAAACACTGTGCGCGCTCGACATTTGCATGGGCCAAGAGTTCCGATGCTGCATTCTGAGCCCCAAGGACACCATCCTGCATTTGAGCGTGGAGCGCCTAAAGGCAAGCGGAACCGTTCATGCGAGCACGTGTGAATGCCAGTGCATAAAGAAATCCAACAACATCAATTGGAATAACCAGGCTGGAGGTGGAGGCCATCGCTAGTACTAGGTTGGAGGCCATCCCTAGTAGGTTGGATGCCATCCCTTAGTAGGTTGGGGTGGATGCCATTTCTAGTAAGTGGGAGTGGGAGGCCATCGCTACTAGTAACTCAAAAGAAGCCGGTTTCTTTTTCTTAACCTTTGAAGCTAACAGTGCAGAGGCCCTGAAGATGCTGGAGGAGGCCACCAAGCCCCTGCTGTCCAATGGGCGGGCACAGGCCCAACGCGCTCATTGACCAAGACATCCGAAAACGGAGCCGTCACCTCTGGGTGCCTTCCGGTCGCAGTCTCGTGGAGAGTTGTCCTGCGGTATCTTGTTTCTAATAGCAAACCTTGTTACTACTAGTAAGGCACTTGTTA